TAGATATCAACTGATTAGAAGTTACAGTTGTTGTTGCTATAGTTGCTAAAAAGATATACTGGCAATGTTTCCCCATTGTGAAAAATAATGTTTATTTATGCTAGATATTAACAACCTTGACAAAATTATAGATAACCCTTGTTTTTTGTCCAATTCAGGTACATCTAAGTTGATTTTAGCTGTGAATTAATTTGTACAGTAATCTTTAGATAAGAAGGACTGAAAAATAAGCAGAAAGTCACACTTTAAAAGTATTTTCTGGCTTTGTTACTTTAGACCTTAGTGAGTAGCTTTTGGTTTTAGGCTGCAAATTGAATACAGCTAACTAATCACTATAGAGAAACATCAGGAGCCAACTCTTAATGAAAAACAGAACAGAGGTCACTTGGAGGGCTTACCTGTTACTAGGGTTGTAGGTGCTGTTGTGTTAAACCAAGTTGTGGCCTCAGTTGTTGAATCTGAGAAATTATATCAAATTTATAATAGTTGTTAATTATCAGTTTCTTTGTTCTTTTTTCAAATCAGGCCAAATATTCAGAAATTTTAAATAACAAAAACACTGTACAGTAAGAAGCTACAGAATGATCTGATAAAGGTTTAAATTAATGTATATTGCATAAATTACATAAGGTGAAAAACATCAAGAAACATTTTCTATATTTTTACTGATACTGTATAATAATCAAATATCCGAGACCCAAAAAATACTATTTTCATTTGTGAAGTTAGTTAGTTGAATTATGTTTTCTATGTATGTTATAACAATACATTTTTATCAGGAAATCTTTGTAAGGGAGTTAAGGATTAGGATCATGGCAACCTCAAAGACCTTATGCTCATTTGCAAATATGAACTGGCAAGAAATACTCTTGGTCGCATTTAAATATTCAGCAATTGTAGGAAGGGTTTTATGGCATTAATACAGTTAACTTTTTAATATAGTGTTAAGTAGTGTACAAATAAGTTTCATTTAACAGAAAAAAACAGTCTAAATAAATAAAATAAAAAACTCAGGGGATTTAAAAACTTTGGATTTAAATTTATTTTTGTTTTGAGATAATGAAGATGTGAGGAAAGAGCAAGCAGCAATATAGTCTGCTGGTGTTTCATATATGCAATTATTGGTTTAAACTTTGTTAAGGTCCTGAAAACACTAGGTTAGCAGGTTCAGCGGACCTGATGGGTATTTATGGTTTATGTTGCTCAGATCTGTTGGTCAATAGGATTGAGTCCGGTCTAAAATAATCCGGTTTTAGCTGGGGTTTAAAATACAGTCAGGGCCTTAGTTTGAGTAGGCCATGATCCGATAATACATGAGACACACGTTTAATTAGATTGAAACTATGAGTCTAACACAAATGATTTATTTACAGAAAAGGCAGATTGATAAAAAAAAAATCAAATTATTGTCGATCTATGTGCTGATAAAAGCTTTTTAAAAAATCTGTTTTCAGAGGTCAAAAAGCCTAGATTCAGACAGCAATCCTAGGAGCTCAATACTGTATGTCATTCTATTCAAAAACCCATATGCATTATGCATTTGTTCCTGGCACTGTTTTTTAGTCCTTCCTGCTACACTTCCCTGTTTCTTCTCCTGCCAATCCTCATCGGCCAAAAAGTTACTTAGAGTATGTTCTAGCAATGGTCTTGGTTATATCAGCTAGGTCCAATCCAGCTTTTATTGCTTACAGCAATTTTAGCTCTACTAAGCCTATAAAATAAGCCAAAGAGAGACCAGTTTGGTATGCAACACTCATACCACAGGCACACACCCCCTGGGAGGGGGAACCTTCAATTTGTCCAGATGTGATACCACTTAGCTTTATCAAGTTGAATTGTTAAACAAAATTCAAACTTTTTGGTGATTGCCCTGGTAGAGACACATTTGTCTTTTGTTGTTTCTGTATTGAAACTGGAAGGTTATACTCATATCTCCCTTTATTATGCAAAATATCACGTTGACTCAAGTTGATGTTACTGTTCCACAAGTACCCACAAGGGCAGCAACAATGTTTTATGGATTGAAAATTAACAAAAATTTGACCGGCAGCAGGTTTGGCCTTAAACAGGCTGGTTTGGGAATCCTCCCTAATTTAAACAAACAGTTTAATCACATTTATGACTAAAGTCTAAATAGATTCCAAATCACCAACTCAGACACACATATATGGTGTTCAGTATAGCATGGTCAACATGTTGTCAACCCAAACGCAGCAAATACTTCAAGCTATAGCCTAGACTTAACTACATTCTTAGAGTAAATTTTGTAGAAAACCTTACTTGTAAAAGTAATTGTATCAGATGCGTAAGTGGTAGCTTGGGTTGAACCTGTAGTAGAGTAAGTGTTGCAACTGACAGAGATCTTGTGAAGTTTTCACTTTAACACTGAGAAGCTGATCCTTTCTTTAGGTACTCACTTGTCACAGTTGTTGAGGCTTGGGTTGTAACACCTGGAGTTGAAACTGTGGGAAAAAAATTATATATTTACATGAGAAATGTAGAAAACCCATTAAATATGGAGACCAAGTCAGAAAGTTTGCAACTTTGCATTGAACTTTCCATTCTGCATTCTATCATTAGTGTTTCATGTTGTTGTTTTTTGTCTGCTCTGCAGACCGCTGATAACAGGGACTGCCTTTCTGAAGTGACATTGGTCACAAACAGACCAATGAGAACCTCCGCAAGGTGAACTACTTCTTTTAAATTCTCCCGCTGCCCTTAGGCCAATTTGTTTCAGTCAAGAATTTAATCAGTCAATCAATGATCCTATCAACCCAACGGAGCAACTGGGGTCAGTCATCAAAGCCTTAGTTACCTCCAGCTTATGAGATGGTTAGTGGCTTTGATTCAGTGTACCCTCAACACTGCCGAGTTGTTCCTGGTCACTAACCATGCTAACCCTGAAATGCAAGGATCTGCTATTCTCATGATGTTTTCATCAAATCATTCTTAAGGGTTTTTTCAATCCCATTCTATCAAGTGCAAAGGCTTCAACAAGATTATTCACCATCAGACAGAACAGGCATGCTGTGACCTAAAGTAAATTTCGGCTTGTGTACACTCTGTGTACAAAATGACAATAAAAATTGTCTAAGTCTAAGTCCACTATAAAATCGATTTTCATATAACGGCAGCAGACAGTAATTGGAACGGGGAGGATCTGAGTGCGTTATCGCAATAGAAATCCTTACCTGTCAAAGCTGTTGTATTTGTTGTAGCATTAGTGGCAGCTTGTGTTGAAGCTGTTGGTGAAAACAAAACTTTTCAAACTAAATTTTACAGTATTAAACAACTTTCATAAACAATTCTATCTTTATTACAGCAATGTCTAGCAAACCATCATTTTATTATAGCTAGGGACTTACTTCCAAAAGTTATGGCTGTAGTAGCAGAATCTGAAGTTGAAGCTGTAAACAATTTATAGAGTTTTAAACAGTTTGATTTTTGCATGATTATTTGTTTCTTTTTTTTGTTTGTCTGATTCATTAACCCCATACTTCTGTCTGATTGAAAAGAAATTCTGAGTCATTGTTGCCTCTATTAGTGCTGGAGACATACATTGCGGCCAATTCCTTTTGTAAGACCATCTTTTCATGAGCTGGAGTGCCCTATTTGTTTTGTCTCTCCTACTGCAATTGTGAATGTCGTCCGCCAAGCCTACAGAGCAGAGCGCCACCGACTGCTGAAAGTTGTGAACTCCCGCTCTATTCCTGGGCAGGAATCGGGGGGGGAGGCCATTTGTGTTTCTGCATCATGGGCATCCCAAAGCACATTCACCAGATTCTACAATGTCCAAGTAACTACCCTTGATCTCATGGGAGAGGTTGTTCTGTGAGGTTTTACTAGGCTCTCTCAGTGAGGCATGTGCTCAGGATTCCTAGTGACATTGTTATTATTGGTCATTCACTGCTTTCTACACCAGCCTCTAGCAGTTAGCAGTGATGAAATAAAATGAAAGTTACATACTAACAGCCATTCAAAATGGCCCTTCCTAATCAAATGCCAGCCGAATGGCAGCAGGCTCCCCTGCAACTCCCAGCAATTTCCCCTCAAACTTCCACCCACTAGAGTGACCCCCTTTACCGAATTATAGAGATGATGCTTCCCTTCAGATCATAATGTCCACAAATCATGACAGAAAGAATATTTTAGTACAAAGATTGATGTTTAAAAAGGAATTGTAGGGGCCAGCCAAGGAACCATCAAGGAAAGTGGGAAAATGTTTAATTGCTTCCACTGTATGTAGCTACAGTTCTATAAATCCTGCAGACCCACCAGAGCTTCTCTGTCACACAGAATCCATGCTTCTGTGAACAGATTCTGTTGGCACAGGGCCTCAGATGACACCATCATATATATATCTCCTGAGTGGTCATCCAAGCTGTCACAGGTAACTCGAGGCATGTTTATTTGTATAGCACAATTCACTACATGGATAATTCAAATTTCTTTACATGAATTAGAGAATAAAATTAAATTAGAGTAGCAGTAAATAAAGTAGAGTTTTTGGACCTCCCCTTTAAGCCCAGTGAGAACATACTGGAATGTGAAGGACTTACTGTTAACGAAAGGTGTAATGGTTGTTGTCCCTGCAAGAACAAAAACACATTCAAGCAAAGTACTAGATCAATAAAAAACTTTTAAGATAGACAATGTGTTTCTATTTAAGATATTTATATTTATATTTATATTTCACAGACAAATCCAAACTTGTTCCTTTTTGTACTTTCTCAAAATGTCTCATCAGTATTATAAAACAGCATTGAACTTATTTGATATAAAAAACAACAGAACCATTCCAAAAAGTTTAAAAACAATCCACTGGACTTTGTTTCAAAGTTTGAAGACGTTTCACTTCCCATCCAGGAAGCTTTTTCAATTCAAAATATCAGAAATAGCGTTGAGGTTTTATAGGGTGGACCAAACACAAAACCTTGTTTTGACTTAGAAAGCAAAGCAGAATCATCAAATACACCAATTGAAGAAGTATGGTTGTGTTTCATACCAATAGTAGTTTGCATCCGACAGGTATCAAGTTCTGTTTTAAAAAGGAAGAGCGAATTTCAGAACGGACCACTGTTATTGGAAGTAAGAAAACTATTAATGAAAAAGTTATAAAATATGTGCACTTACCTGACAGTGGCTGGCAATAAGTATCATTTGGAGGAAGAGCATTGATGCATCTACAGGTATTGTCCTGAATGTTGCTGCATTCGCCAAAAGTGGAGCACATGTCACAAGGCCAGGCATACTGATCCTCACATCTGCACTGGTAGGTTGTATTATTGGGGAAACAAACTGAAAGCAAGACAGATTGTTTAAAAACAACAAAAAAAGATAAATCAAATTACACTACATTTTATCTAGTGTGCCATAGTGGCAGTTATTACCTGTAGAAATCTTAAGATCAGAGATCTGTAGGTCATTGTTAATGCTAATGGTGAAGCTGAGGTTTCGTATCTTTCCTACAGCTGCATCATCTGTGGTTTTCAGCTCAATAAACAGGTTGTATTGATAAGTTACATGCTTAGCTGCAAAGAGAAACATTTAAAGCAAATGTGTATATAAGTATATTCTGGTTTCAGAGTGCTTATATTGAAAATGTGATGACAGGAATAAATACATGACAAAATAAAAGCATAAATATGTGACAAAATAAAAGCCTGAATATTCTGAATCCTAATGCTCGGATTACAATGAACTTAAGGATAAAGAAATGAAGCATCGATACTTTTGACAAATGGGTTGACAGAATCTTTACAATCACCAGTTAACTGCAGAAATTGCAACACCTCCTCAACTGCCCCTTCAATAAGTCTAATCAGGCTCCCAGAGGTCAACTGAACCCCTGGTCCCTATTCATTCAGCTGCTGTGCTGATGTTTGGGAAACATAGAAGCTCTAAGAAAAGTAAAAAGTAGTTTTTGAACGGTAGAAGGAAACAGAAGACTAAATACTCAGAAAAGACCCAGCAAAGAATTTAAAGCAGAAACCTTCCACCTGTGAGGCGGCAATGCTAACTAACGATCCAACAGAAAAACAAAAGAAAGAAAAACGAGTATTTAAATAAGTCTCTGAGTTCTGAGCAGCTTGATAAAGTGTTTTCACATATAATACGTGACAGATAGAAGTGCAAACACATTAGATTCATTATAGAGCAATAAAAACATCTAAAGCGTTTGAAAAAAATAACAAACACTAAACTATCTTCAAAGAAAATGTACCACAGTGATCAGTTAAATTCTCTCACTTGTTGCAGCTGTTGTTGAAGCTATTGAAGTGTTCCTGGCTGTGAATGTGGTAAGTAAAAAAATCAGTGAGAAATATCAATATTGTTGTAAAATAATTTGATTGGATGAGAAAAAAGATTCACTTAATTTTTATTACTTACTGGGAACTTGGAATGTTGTATTAATTGGAGGTGTAGGAGTGGTTGACTCTGCAGATACATTTTGAACAAATAAACATTGTAGAAGCTGTAAATATGAGGTTTTCTTTACAACTCAGCAATAAACATTAGAATTTGTAAACGACATTTCACTTTCCATCCAGTAAGCTTTTCCATTCATTCTATAGCATTTAAATGAAAAAGCTTCCTGGATGGAAAGTGAAACGCATTAAAACTTGAAAAATCAAGTCCAGTAGATCGGGGTTTTTTGGAATTACAGTTCTATATCATTTATGACACTTTGTTAAGTCTGAAAAGATAAAGACAAAAAGGGAGAAAGTGAATGCATATGGATAGTGCCATTACTCTCAAAATATGCCTCACTACATAGTAGGCTCCCTCAGTTTAATTCAGTTTCATTTATAGTGCCAATTCAAAACACATATCATCCAATGTACTTTACAAAGACATTTCAAACAGATCATTCAGCTGAGAAAATAAGTATGTCTACGAGGGAAAAAAGGGAGTAGGCACTGACAAAAAAATTAAAGGTCTATCATCTTCTGTAAATTAGCTGCATTCGTGGCTCTTTTTAGCAAGGAAATAGTCACAATAAAAGCTGAGCCCATAGCTATGTATATACGAGAGAAATGGGAGAAAGCACTGACAAAAAATTCCAGGTCTGTCATCTTCAACTCAAGATGCTGATGGTGGCAGCCCAGCTGATTTTTCTACCCCAGGTTGCTGTTCACAGCCAAACAGAACCAGACCAGATAAAAGATGAAGTTTTTGTTTTTCTCTCTATGTCAACTAACTGAAAAACACTGTTTGAATCAAAACTACTAAGGATACAATAAATTAAATATGCTTCTTCAGCAGCAGATGGTGCTGTTTCACACATTTCATGTTAGTTTAGAATTTACCATAGATTTTCAAAACATATTACGTGGCAGCAAAAAGACAAAAAACAAACCCAAATATTCTTTAGTAACTAGAAGCCTTAACAGAATCTGAGAGTAGATTTTTTCAGGTTTAAAAACATCTTTTGGTTAGAGAATCTAGTGATCTGATCAGGTTATTCCATTTAATGGAGAAATCACATCAAGTTTTTTACCAACTCCAACTGAACTCACTGTATTGATCCAGAGACTGGCAGTACTGTCCATCAGCAGGAATGCCATTAATGCATCCACAAGTGTCTCCAGTTATGTTGTCACATGATCCATATGTTTGACACTGGTCACATGACCAACGATACTGATCCTCACATCTGCACTGGTAACCACCGCCGATTGGAGAGCAAACTGGAGGAAAAACAGTTCAGTTACAGCAGGTCTGATTAGATAGGTGAAGAGTTCACTTTGAAACTGAGATCTTCTTCACAACTTCTGGATATATGGAAACAAATGCAAACTCATTTGCTTCATGCATATGTTTTTTTTGGTTTAGCATGCATAAATAAATTAATGTCTAACTATTATTTAACAGTGAAATAGTAAATATTTGAATCTATTGGTCTTACCAGTAGAGATGTTAACATCAGAGATCTCTATGTAGCTGTTGATGCTGATGGGGTAGCTGATTTTCCTCAGTTCTCTAACAGCTGCAACATCTGTACTGTTCAGCTCAACATGAAGAATGTAGAGATAAACAAATGGTGG